TCTCTCTCTCTCTCTCTCTCTCTCTCTCTCTCTCTCTCTCTCTCTCTCTCTCTCTCTCTCTCTCTCTCTGGCGGTTTTGTCTATGTATTGATAACTTTCTTATCGACTAAATTTATATCAATGTTTGTGACATTTTTACCATTCAATGTATTATTAAATTATTTTTAGTAATAATTTGTGTCAATCACTAATTGTATTAAATTTAAACTAAAAATATAGTGTTTTTTACTAATAAAGAATCGATATTTTTATAATAAAATAAATGCTAATATTGAATCACTTTAATAAAGTGTTTATTAAGTCAATAAACAAATGCCTTTTATTAAATATTTTGCTCAAAATATGACATTTAACTGATGTGTGTTTGAAAATAAAGAAAGAAATAATCAAAACTATTACTTTTACCAAAACTAAAGTTACCAACACTAACATCACTCGGTTTATGAGACCATTTCACTAATGAGATAAATATTGATTATTATATACAGAATTATTATGTTTTTATCTTATATTTTAATTATGTATTGCATTACAAATGCTTTACACGTATAAAATCTGTTTAATATTAGTTTATTATACTTTTAAAGCAGCATAATATCAAATTTATACATTAGTTGTCAATAAGACAACTATTTATGAATTATTTAACAATGTAAATTATGTGAAATAATTATTCTCAATATAAATAATTGACTTAACACATGTTTTATTTTAAAATGTTGGTAAACAAATTTATGTCATAAATATTTTATTGAAATATTTACCCAAGGTTACATTTAAATACAATATTTATATAAAACATAGATATCATAACAAAAATTAGCATTATTTTTATATTACATTATTAATAAGTATAAATCATTTTTAATATACAAAACATTAAACTTATAAATGAATGCAAAAATTATAAAGATATTTTATTGATCGCTTGATGTGAATAAAATCATATGTATAAAATGTTCATGCTAATTCTTAATATAAGTTAACATTTAAAATATTTATATAAAGTTTCAACAAAATTGTTTATGAAAAATCAATTTCTCGTTAATTATTCAAATAAATATATATAAAACAAGTTTTTATGGCATTATTTTGAGTGGAATAGAAAAAAGAGTAAATTATTGATAATAATCTTTGCATTATTAATAGCGAGTTTGGATATATGAAGTACTCTACAATATTATATAGAAATACTTATAGTGTGAAGGTCGTTTTGACATCCATTTTTCCCAGGATCAAAATAATGACAATAACACTAACTTTTATTTGTTATTGTGTGATAAATGCTGTAAATATTTACATGTGTTTAAAAGATTGAATAATTAGTTAAAATGAGTTTATCTAAAGTGCTGTCAATACTGTTCACAATCTTTGATGGCATTCGAGATCTGTTGAAGAATTTGTTGGGCTTTAGAAGAAGATGTGAGAGTAAAACAAGACTCGACCACAAAGTGGTTGTCATTACCGGCGGTAACACTGGTATCGGCAAAGAGACTGCACTTCAACTAACATTACGCGGCGCTAAGGTTTGTGAAATTATTGGAATTTTATATTTATGCACTTATTTATAAGTTTTATATTAAATTTTATTTTATTTGGTAAACAGTGTTTCATTTAATCAATTTATTCATATATTGTATATATTAATCTGATTTTAAAATAAAATAATTTTTAATTACTAGTAACGTAATAAAATTGAATTTATAATATATTATAATTACTATTTTATTTAAAATTGCAAACGAGTAACAAAACAAATAATTGATATATTGTTTGTATACATTCAGGTAATCATTGGTTGTCGTGATCTTAAGAAAGGAGAGAATGCTGTAAAAGATATCAAGTGTTTGAATGCAAAGGCAGACATAAATGTGATGCAATTGGATCTCTCGTCCCTCTCATCCGTCCGACACTTCGCCAAAACATTGACACAAAACGAATCCAGAATTGATATCCTTATAAACAACGCCGGAGTTATGTTATGTCCGGAGTGGACCACCGAAGACGGCTTTGAGATGCAGTTCGGGACCAATCATTTGGGTATTCATTTTGTTGCTGTTGTCTATGTCTTGATGTTTGGCATTCAATCATTGATTTATTCATCAATTTTAGGACACTTTTTATTAACACTTTCTGTAATGGATTTATTGAAAAAGTCGGCAAAAGCCAGAGTTATTAACGTCTCATCGAAAGCATATTTTACGGGAGAAATTAATTTCGAGAATATAAACCTGAGAAACGGTGCCTACAGTCCAATCAAAGGCTACAGTCAAAGCAAATTAGCAAACATTTTGTTCACTCGAGAACTCGCCCGACGCTTGGGTCCAAAGAATACTATAACGGCTTATAGTCTTCATCCGGGGATAATCCAAACCGAGTTGGGCCGTCATATTCCCGCACTAATCCAGCCTATTATCCGTTATGTCTTCGGATATATGATGTTAAGCATTGAATTGGGAGCTCAAACCACACTATACTGCGCTCTCGAGCCATCCCTTGACAATGAATCCGGACTTTATTACGAGTAAGTCTTAAGTTCTTACAATTCAATAATGTTTTAAAATAATTTATAATTACATTTTATGTCAAACTCGTTGCCAGTGATTGCCATCGAATTGATAATATGTTTGCGAACGCAACCAATGATACCGACGCCCAAAAACTCTGGGAATTGAGCTGTGATTTGGTTAAACTCGACACTCATTTAAGACTTGATTAAAATTGTGTAAAATCTTATGAATGTATTTATTGTTAATGATATGCGATATCAATGCAATAAAATTATAACCCAAACTTTGTTATATATCTTAAAATATCTGTTATTAGATATATTGGTTATTACTTGTCATTGAAGTAAAAATAGTTATGAGATTTAACCGAACGTTAGAAAACGTGAGATACTTGTTAAATGGTTACAAAATTAGTAATTGGCAATTACTAATTGCTCATGTTATTTTTTAAATTTCATATCAATTTATGCGTAATAATCATACGGAATGTATTACACGTTATAATGACCGGGTGTTTAGGGTATAAGAGGTATATAAATATCAAGACATGTAAACATTTAAAAACCAGTTTTGTTGTGAATCAAACATAAGTATTGAGTTTTGAATTGCAATAAATGTAGAGTTGAGAGTAAAAATATGTCTAAAATCTCAGTAACCGTCGATTTGTTGTTTGCAATTAAATGTAATTTAATATTTTTCTGCCGAACTGTTTATGAATATCTTATAACAAATGTATGGCTAAGAAACCGCTGCGAAAGTACCAGAAGACTCGATGAACAGGTTGTGGTGATAACCGGCGCCAACACTGGGATCGGCAAAGAAACGGCTCTTCAATTGTCAATACGTGGCGCTAAGGTTTGTCTTATCATTCATTCATACGATTAAAGTTTTAAAACTTTTAAATAAATATTAAATATCATTTTTTCAAATGTTTTTTCTTTAATAAAACAATATTTACATTAAAAAGTGCCTCAAAAACATAATTTTAAAAATAATGTATTGAATCAATGAATATTTAAATATGAGAGAGAGAGAGAGACTAAAAAGCGAGTGAAAGAAGTGAGAGAAGAGAGGAGAGGAGACAACACCAAAA